TTTTATAGGATAAGCCAAAATTGTTACTGAAACAAGTATTTGTGTTCCAGAACCGAGTTTAGCTGTGGAAATGTGATAGGAAAGGGGTCAGTTCCTGTATAGCAGGTGTAAGATCCAGAAACCCCAAGATATGGCCGTTTTTGACCTGAGAATCAGGTAGCCTGCCCTTTGCTGTGTGTGCTTGTTTTTGGCAGTTGAAATTGGGATGATACGAACGGGGCCTTTACTGCAGCAGCCCCTCTTCCTTTGAATGTGAGGGGAGATGAACTCATTTGTAGCATCTCTGCAAGACTTAAAGCATAAGGTCATTTTTAGAATCATGTCTTAGCTTACTAAGTATGACAAATATTATACTGTTCTTCCAAACTGTGAAAGTATCCCCTTTTTCTGTGCAATTTTGCTCCCTTTAGATCCAGAAGCGAGTCCCAGACTTCCAGCCCAAAACTTTGCTGGATTTTGGTTCGGGTACCGGTGCTGTCAGCTGGTAAGAATCCCCTTGGGAGGGAGAAATTGCCTTTCTCCCCAACAGCAACAGTGAGGCTTATCTCCTTAGTGGAGGGAGTAAGTCCCTACATCAGGGGAAGGAGAGGGGAAGGCGACCTTTTGTTAGCGGTGGCTTCCATGTAATATTTTTAGAGGGGTTGAATGCTGCAAAGCCAGCCATTGCAGATGTGAACAGAGCAGGTTTAGGGTTAGGGTTCCTAGTTTTCTTACGTGGTGGCATCCTAGCAACAGAGCTTCCCATCATTTTTAAAGACGGTCACATGTGGAAGTACCTCCAAAATGGAGGAAATTCTGCAGCCAGATCTTGGTGGTCATTGTCAGAGGGGAGCACAAGGCCTGCGAAAAAGCTATATGCTTGTGACAGAAGTAGCTTTCATCCTGAACCCGGCATGGGGCAGAGGGGAGAAGAGTGGAAACATGTCTTCATATAGATATTACTTTCTTCTTTTTACACTTTAGGGCAGCCCACAGCATCTGGGGGGAAAGCTTGAAAGAATACATGAATGTTGATTGCTCTGCTTCCATGCTGGCCTTGGCAGAAAAGCTGATGAGAGGTGAGGTGGGGAGGAAGATGAGTACAGTATTTTACTTTCTCAGCGTGAGGCTTAGTCCAACAAAAAAGGTTTTCTTGTTTTTAGACTGGAGAGAAGCTTCCCTTTGAATTGTGCCCCAAAGGTGGTGGTTCATCACTCTGTTCTCTTCCTGACAATCGTACTCCTAAATGTTTGCATTACTTTTTGGAAGAGATATCCCAGAGCAACGGTGTTTATGGTGCAGTGAACACTTTGTCTTTGTGACTGGGGAAAACTCGTGAGGAAATGTGTCTCCTTACAAAAACAAAACCCACATATACTGCCCAGAGTTGCTGGGAGTCAGGTGGCATGTACTAATTAATCAATAATAATATACACCCATAGGTTAGCACAACTAGATCATAGTCTTTCCTTGGATACAGATACTTCCTGCAGGACTGTTTCTGGGTTTTGGTTTTATCCTTAGTTGGGAGCTGTCTACCATGTCAGCTTCCACCAGGAATATGTAATATTGTAGTTCGTTGCAAACTTAGTGGAAGAAAAGAGCAGAGTCCATAGCATTAAACTGGAAAGTTCATATACATGTCTTGTGTTTCTGCAGAGCATAGAAAACTCTGTAGTTCATATGCTAGCAAAAGCTGTGTATATTACATATTGCCATATTATATATGGTATATATATTAAAGCTTGGTTTCCTGTTCTATGTAATTCTGCTTTCTACTAGACTTGGGTGGGATACAGGCAAGCATGATGCTAGTCTAGACCCTGTCTAACCACTGGAAATCTGGTGTGAACCATCATGGTATTTTACAGGCTCTTCCAAGGCTGTCATGAGCTTCCAGCCTTGAGGATTCAAAAAGTGTTTCTTCTTCGTTGATCGATGCCAAATTTAAGCTTATTATGATGGGTCTTCAGTAGAAAGTATTTTCCTTGGTAGAATTGGAAACTAACATTCTTCTTGGTTGAGATGTCATACTGGTTTGCTCCACTTAAACTTGCACCTCTTTCAGTTGTGGTTTCCCTGTATCTCCTTCAGGATCACCTGTTGGATTTCCACCTCTCTCCCATTAATAAACCCCTTTCCCTGTGGTTTTACCTGTTGCCTGTTTTCTTCCTAGGCTACTCTGAATCCCAGGAGCTCTGCTTTCCTGGTGTCTACTTCAGGCAGTTTTTCCCTGTTGGGCCGAAGGTAAACACAACTTGAACAGCTGCATTCAAAAGAGGTTGGGTCCCTATAGACCTGATGAACATACCATGCCAACCCTCGAGGTCCCTGTTGATCTCTGACTTGGGGATTTTTAGTGCAGCTTTTCTCTGTGAAATCTTTCTGCAGCCTTACAAGAATTTCCTTCCCTGACTTATTTAAAATCTCCACCTGGCTGGATTCCAGTGTGGCTTAGTGATTGAAACTGATCTACTTTGGGGGCATTAATTTATAGGCTGTAAAGTTTTACTATAGTATTAGAAAATATTAGATATATATCTATATCTATACAGCAAGCACTGTGAAAATTTGGTTGTGGCACTAGCTTTTCCGTTTCTAGTTTTATTGTTTTCTGTTTTTACCATCTGTATGATTGTTTCATCCTTTGGTTGAGAGTTTTGGTTTTAAGATGGGCAGCCATATAAATATTTTAAATAAATAAATATATCTACAATTATTTGTGTGTGTGTGTATAATTGCACAGTTGGAAGGGCCTGGAAGGACGATTTAAGGCATACAGTCCAATGGCATGCTCTTCAGTGAATTATGGGAAAGGAAAAGGGAAATTAGTAATTATTTTACTGTTGTAAAAAGGAAAATTAGTAATTATTTTACTGTTGTAAAAAGGAAAATTAGTAATTATTTTACTGTTGTACATTTCCTCAGATTAGGATGCTTTTCCTAACGATCCACAGCAGAGTTTTTCAAACTTGGCAACTTTTAAGATGTGTGGACTCAACTCCCAGAATTCCCCAGCAAAAGTGATAAAATGAGTAGTTTTGGCTCTTATTAGGAAGACCCTCCTAATGTATTTGTTCTACCTTTCCTTTAATTTGCTAAGGATAGTGGATGTAGGCCTTCTCCCTGCCCCTTCATTGGATCCTCACAATAGGTCTGTGAGATATATCAATGAAGAGAGTATGGCTTATTTGAACCTAGATTTTAACCTTGCTTTCCCCAAGCCACGGTCTCAGATATCTACCATATGTTTTCTCAGACAGAATTTGTAATCAGAGTCTACATTCATTTCCATTCTCATTCCTCCCCCGCCCCCACAGATGACATTTGATCTCACAGTATCTGCTTTCTCTCTCAACGATCTGCCAAGTTATGCTCAGAGAGTGGCGACAGTGCAAAATCTCTGGAAGAGAACCAACAACTTTCTGGTAAGGAACGTGCCCTGGATTGCATGGACGGATTCAGTCAGCTGATGCGAGATGTTTACTCTCTGCTCCGCCTTGAAACTTTCCCTGGTTCATATTAAATGCTCTTTTGATGACTTTTCTGGATTGAGAGATGGCAGCCTGTGGGCTCCATCTCTCTCCCAAGTGCTCTTTTCACATTCTGCTGAGTGCTGTGGGCTGCAAGAAAGTTGGCCATCATTCCTTAGACTGTGGTTGATCTCCATGCCATTGCTGTCGCTGCTGCCTGGAAGTTAACTTACAGGAAGGTCAGATTGAGGGCAGGGGCATTGGCTATGTAGTGATAGCAGCTCCCCCTTTATATTTATGACGTGATGTTCTTGAAAACCAAAGTGATAAGGGCAGTGTTTCTTGCTCACACTTGAATGCCATGTCCCATAATGGAAGTGAATATATTTGTGCTGAACAACAGAAGACATGGGTACACTAGGGACCGATAGGAAAACACTTTAGTGAAATTCTTCCACTCTCTTCCCATACGATGATGCCTTTATATAAATAAAATCAATACCCCATTTCCCTGAAGTACATAAACATTGCCCCGCTGGATCGGACCCTGGCCCGTCTGGTCCAGCAGTCTGTTCTCACAGTGGTCCACCAACCGCACAAGGAAGCCCACTAGTCTCCCAGAAGATGGCCTTCAGAGACAGTCACCGTGCCACCAAGGCTAATGGCTGTTGATCCCCATGATTTCCAAAAACAGTCCAACCCATTTTTGAAACTAGCCAATCTGGTAGCCAGCACCACATCTTGTAATGAATTCCAAAGTTTAATTACATGAGTTAAAAAACAATCCTTTTGTCCTGCTTATTTCAGGTTTCAATTTCATTGGGTGACCTCTGGTTCTAGTATTTTGAGAAACTGAAAAGAGCTGCTCCTTGTCCACTTTATCCATACCATGTGTAATTTTGTATACCTCCGTTATGTCCCCCCTCCTTTCTAGACTAAAAAGCCCCAAATGTCGCAACCTTTCCTCATAGGGGAGCTGTTCCAGCCCCTTGATCCTCTTAGTTGCCCTCCTCTGAACCTTGTTTCCATGTTACTGGAGTCCTGTTTCTTGTTAGAACAGATTCACACGTGACACAAGGATTTCATTTATCCTTTGTAAGGCCTGGATAATATTGGAACAGGGAATCAACATCCTCCACCCCTCACACCCGCTCTGCCTTTCTCCAAAGAGGTAGGAAGCAGTGGTATCCAGCCTTATACTGCATGGAGGAAAGAGTCTTCTCAGTACTTGAAGAAAGGGCAGATTTTGCATAGAAGGAAGAGTTAACAGCTGGAATGACAACCTGAGTAGCTTTTGGTCTGCAGGCCAGAGTGGTTTTTCTCCCTCCTTTATCTCCTTTTCCAGGTTCTGGTTGAAAATGGAACCAAGGAAGGCCATCGGATGCTCATGGAGGCCCGAGACGTTGTTTTGAAGGTGAGTCACCTTTCTTCAGTTAATGGCCTGCTTAAATGAGGGGAAAAGTTACAAAGTGATGGTGAAGGAAAGATAACACATCAGATGTCACATTAGATGGTTCTTAAGTTGGGGATAATTTTATGTGGTTCACCAAGTTTCTTTGAAAGCAGGGATACAATTAATGAGTATGTATCTGGATCTTGGTTCTCTCCCACAAACATTACAGGTATAATTCAACCGCTCCATTCCTTAAAACGTACATGTTTACACAGGTTCTCAAAATCTGGTTTAATTAAGCAGGGAATGGATTCTTCTCTCCTCCCCTAATTGTGATTGCAGGAAGGGTGGCCTCTGTTCTAAAACATGTGTAAGGTGTGAGCTTTCAGGATTCCCCCGCCCCAAATAATTGGTTTTGTTTCTGTCTCTGTTTATCCTCCAGGCTCTGGATAGGTTGTAGCAGCACTTAAAAATCACTCATCATGAGCTTTGAGCCTCCACGTTAAGGTTATGGAAAAGTGTGGAAGTCACCATTTTTATTGATTAAGCCTTTTTCATTTTGTTCTCAGGACACAGATAAAGTAAACCAAGCAGCTCATGTTTTTGCTCCGGTAAGTACTGAAATCTATCCAGAGCTGCATTTACCAAAGCTACGTTAGAAAGTAAAAACATTTTATCTGAAAGTCTGCTGTGTTGGACTCCAAGCAATTCTTGTTGTGCCCTTGTGTAAATACTTCTAGGGGTTTCCTAAGCCAAAATTCCTGGTTTTCTGACTCTGAACCAGATCTTTGATTGTGAGCCCAGAAAACATGCAGATCCTGGCTTTTGATCAGCGCTTAAACTACTGTTTTTGGATACTTGCACCCCTGAAGATGAAGAGATGTTGATGGTGGGAGAAAGCATACCAATGCAACACTTGGTCTGTGAGCAGGAGCAGAAATGGTGTAAACATATCTTGCGTGATGAAGCGCTGAAGAGGATTTCTGTATTCATCAAGGGCTCAGGGTTACCAGAACATCACAGTAACTGACTTCTCTCTTATACTTGTCTAGTGCCCACACCATTTGCCCTGCCCTCGCTTGTTGCTGGGTAGTCCTTTGCCATGCAATTTCCTCCAGCAGTATCAACCCCTGCCTCTCCGTTGGGTAAGTCTGCCTGCCTGCTTGCCTTCCCTTGAGAAGAGGTGGGGTGATGAACCTGTGTGCTGAATGAATTTCACTCTCCTGGATACTACAACAGATATGTGAGTGAACTAGCAGGGCTCTGAGCAGGCCAAATCAGGCTTGTCTCTTCTCTCCATTTCTTTGCATTGTGCTTATAGCATCCTTACGGGACAGTGGGGACCCATCTACAGAAATGTTTGGAGCATCTCAGAACAGAGCAGTCACAATAAACACTTGATATTATGTAGGACTTATTTGAACAACATGGACTGGGAGGAATTCAAAGCACCAGGGTAGAGCAGACAGTAGTATGTGTTCAGTTTCTGGCATCACTTGGCATTGCCACATGACCCGTGCAGCCCTCAGTTCCACCCCAAATTGTAATTTACTTATGAAGAGGTAAGATTATGAAATATGTGGGAAATAGTGGTATTAGCTGTATTTTATTTAACTTAAACCAAAATTAGTTTTTGTTCTGGTCCTTTCCACTTTGGTTTACAACCCTCCCACTGGAGTACAACTTTAAGACTACATGAAAGATGGAAAAAGATAACATGCTCCTGTTTGAATGGACAGGCTGGATTTTCAGAAGATGCAAGATTAAGATAAAATGGGGTAGGAAAGTTTTGGTTCAGAGTATTGTGGGAAACCCAGGCGTGGTCTTACCACGTTGGGTGAATCATGTTAAGCCATAATATGGTTTATTTGTTTAGGAATTGCATGTTGTCTAGATAGAGCATTTGTGTTCTGTCTTGGGATTAAGACTGGGGTTAGGGTTTAGTGTGTCATGAGAGCACAACCTCTGAGTAAGCATGTGGGATTCTGCAGCAAGAAAGGCAATTCAAGTGTAGGCAAAGTAAATAAAGGAGACTACCAAAAAGAAAAAAGTTTTTTAAAAAATGAAGTGTAATCAGTAGTTATCCCTAACGTATAGAGAGATTTAAAAACAATGATCTTGCTCTGTAATACAGGTAGTCCTCAGTTAACTCCCATAATTGGGATCAGGAACTCCATCACTAAGCCATGTGGTTGTAAAACTAAAAACTTACATGACCGTGCCAACCTACAACAGCAGTTCTGACAGTTCCGGTTGTGGTTGTTAAATGAATCACACACGATCATTAAGTGCGATGTCATGTGACAGCAACTATTTCCTGTTGGCTTCCCCACTGACTTTGCTTGTCAGAAGCCGCAATGAAGGTCCAAAATAGCAATCACATGACTGTGGGATGCTGCAATTGTCGTAATTGTGTGCCTGTTGCCAAACACCTCAATCACGATCATGTGACTGCAGGCACACTGAGACAGCTGTAACTTTGAGGACTGGCCGTAAGTCTCCTCATTCAGTGCTGTCATAGCTTCAAACAACGAGTGGTTGCTGAGCAAGGACTACATGTATCTTTGTTTCTGCTGCTGGACTGGGCCAATGTGAGCCCCTAGGAGTAGTTCATGCACTTATGGAAACATGTTCATGAACCCAACCCAGAAGAATCACACTTCAGCCTATTCCTAAGGAAAACCAACATTTTGGAGCCAAATTGCACCATTTTGCACCCCTATAAATGAAAAAAAAAAAGATCATGGGGTTCTTAATTCAGCTTTCCCTAACCTAGATGGATTGAGTTACAGTTCCCTTGCAATGTAAGCTATCCTGGCTGGGAACCTGGAGAGTTGTGGTTCTCTGTAAGTCTCTCATATAATATACTGAAGATTATGTACAAACCTTGGGAAGAAAGAAGTGAGAGAGCACTATTAGAATTTCTAAAGGTTCTATGCATCCCAAGGCCAGATGATATCTCTTTGTTGGCTTACAGATGGGAGTCAAACTTTCTGGGGGCTTTCCTACCCCACCCCCACTTCCTTTTTTCCCAGAGTTTACATTCCAGCCAATTTCAATTAGAAGTAATATGTTGTTGTCTCCTGATGGATTTGTGGACCTATTGGAAGAAAAGATAACATCATCAATCAGTGTGTCAGTCTGTTTCTGCTAGTTTTCCTTGCCTGGGCTGTGAGGAGAGGACAGAACTTTCTAAGATCACTCTGTCCTGTGTGTGTGTCTCCAGAATCCTCCACAGAAAACCGAGAGATTTTCTTTCTTGATCCTGTGCCGAGGATCAGGGAAGTTGATGGAACCTTGGCCTCGTGTCACCCAACCTGTCCTTTGCCGCAAACGCCACGTCCACGTGCACCTCTGCTGTGCTGATGGCACCCTCCAACATGCTGTTGTGACATCAAAGAAACATAGCAGGTACTAGATTCCTCTTGAAGGCACAGGGAGCACTAGATCCAGGCTCTGGTTCCCTGGATCAAGGGTTAAGAATGAGGCCTCTGTCCATGAATGTGGCCCTGGGGTCATCACCTGTCTTTGCTCCTTGCAGGGATCTCTATCGATGTGCCCGGAACAGTCATTGTGGAGATCGGCTTCCTATTTTGACTCCAGATAGCAAATCCATTTTGGAGGACAAATCAACCCTGGAAGGCCAGATAAACACTACTCAAAAAGTTAATACTGCTCCTTCCCAGGATCTGAGTTGATGAGGTCCCTTCCGATATACCTCTGTGCTTCCTTTTGGTATCCAGACAGGATGTCTATCTCAGATTCCTGGTCTCTAGAATCTGAATTCCATATACTATTTGGAGCCATAGACCCAAGTTTTTTAGGCCTTCTGCTTGGCAATGCCTATATAATCAAGAGGATCAAATTGTGGTACACCCCAATCCATTTTCCATGGATAATGCTGATTTTCTTGGAGCAACTTTGGCTACTGATGCATTGGATTTAATTCAGCTCTTTTTCTCTTTGATGTCATAGCAAGCCACATCGGGCCTCCAGAGACTTAAGTAGTTGTGATTGTGATGGTGGTCAGTCTCAATCTGCTATACATGCTCCAAGACACACCCAAAGACAAATCCTGTAGTCTGCTTCTTCAGCCTTGTGCCCTACAAAGAATTTGGATTACAGATTCCAACTCTAGTCCTTGGCTATGAAAGCTAGTTGGGACTGATAAAGGCCTGGAGGACATGTGGGTGGCAGAGCTACGCTCCATGTATCTCTTCCTGACATTTGGGTTGGAGGTGGAATATTCAAATCTTCTCTTCCTTTAAAACATCATCTACTACAAACTAGTTTAGCACAGGGTGATAAAAATTAGCTTAGAAACAGTTTCACATATGAAAAGAATGTGTTACATAAGAAATAATATAGTAAAACAATATCCTCCCTGGGAAATTAGTAGAAGCCAGAATTACAGGTATCAGCATAGTATTTATCTGTTCTGACACTGGGTGTACTGAAACCCACAAATATGTCTCCTAACCAATTTTGGATTACATGGAAAGGCTGATGAGCAGTTTCAAAAGCTTAGGTTGATTCTGGTGGTTGTTTCCTTGTTCTGCCTTCCTGTCTGTTTGGCTAAATGAAAAGAGCAAGTGTTTCCCAACTTGTTTTTTTCAAGGGGAGCTCAGGAGTTGTATTCCAATAAGGTGGGTTTGGAGAGCCTGAGTGAAGAGGGAGTGGGAGGACAGCTTTGGCTTCAAGCAAATGCAAAAGGGTGTGTGTTTATGACCACTTTAATCCCAGCTCGAAAAGATATTGAGTAGGTTGAAGTTAGGGAGGAAATTGGAGAACAATTAACATAGGCAGGTTGGGATTGGTTGCTTAGGGAGAAAGATTTGGGCACAATAGTTTTCGTTGTTCTTTAAATAAGCTCTCCTGCACACATGCACACACCCAGAGGGCTGTTGTAACAACAGTGTTATTGACAAAATAAGTTGTGGATATTTTGCTGCCATTGCTGCTTGTTCAGCCTAGCTGGTTGAATCTTTCTGTCTCAAATGGAGATGGTACCTTTGGCTTCTCTTCTGAGGACACCACTGCTCCCTCCAGAGTGTGTCGGAAATCCTGCCTGCATTTCTGCAGTGAGTGAAAAGCCCCACAAATTTCAGCAGGCTTTGTCATGGAATCCTGGGCTCCCAGCCCAATCCCATCAACCTGAGTGATCTTTTAGTTGGGCCACCAACATGCTCTATTCAACCTTTTCTACCCCCCCCCCCATTCCCAAATTACTTCCAAGCCACACAAATCATGTTAAAGAAGATTTTATCACCCGACTCTCTAGTGCTCCATGCCTGATTCCGATTCCCATCCATTGTTCTCGAAGTCCAAATCTGGCTGCCTCATGCTTTTTAGCAGTTAGATTTGCATGCCAACAGGGAGAAGTTGGAAGTCCTGCTTCCTAATCAGAAGAGGATGCAGGTTCTGCTCAATGATGCGGGTAGTTATGTAGTGTGTCCAACTGTTGCTCTGTGATACCAATGCTGTTAAAAGGCCTGCTGAAGTCAACGGGGTTGACTTTAGTCCCTCTTACTGAGAATGAATTATCTAGGTCAGTGTTTTTCAAACCTGGCAACTTTTAAGGTGTGGACTTCAACTCCCAGAATTGCTGGCCGGAGAGCGTTTGACATTGTAGAACGTAAAAACAGCTTGGTCAGATCATGCAGGATACCTATCTCGTCCAGCATTTCATTCTTAACCTGGGCAGCTCTTGAGTGTGTCCTATGCCATTTCAAGTACTTGATGGCATAGGACGACCAAAACAAAAAACAAAAAATTGAACTAAATTATAAAAACTATAGTTTGATTTAAGTTAGCTTTAACTTTAATTAAAACTAACTGACATGGGTTAAATGAGGCTAAGGTTAGCTTTTTCTTTCGCAATCCTTTGATCACAAAAATTACCATTTTTTGATAGTTGAAGGGCTCTGATGGGGGGTTGTTAAACTGAGGTCCATCCCCCTAGTCCCCCCCTCAGTAACCCCTGGGATATAATATCAACTTTTGTAATTGCATTTGCTTTTCTAAAATGTTATGCTCCACTCCCTTACAATAGGCGTTTTTAGCAAACGAAACCCGTAAGCACGTCGTCCAGTTCCTTATTTAGAAGTGCATCCATCAAGTCCAAAATAGTTTTTCACCCTTTTTCGTCAGAATAACACACAACAGCCATCAAACAGAAAAGAAAGAACATCCACCGTTCACATGTCCAGCAGTATCTCGACACCAATTAATTAACTATTAAAATTCTGCTAATACGTCGCTGACTTTGATAAATTCTGAAACTTATCAGCTGCTGTGTTGTAGTGCAGACATTAACCTGAAACTTGGCCACTGGACGAACTGTGTGGTTGTTGATCGCACAAAAGGTAAAGTACATACCGTTTAACTGCCTTGCCTGGTGTGTTTATTAAAATGAGTATGATAAAGCTAGAGTAAATATCTCTGTGAAGGGGATAGTAAAAAACCTGACTTCAGTCTCCAGGGTCAGAGGACAGTTACATTAAAGGACAATTTTGATATCTGTCCATTGGTAGCCCTGAAGGCAAGGACTTCAACTGGGTCCTAAAAGACCTCCATAGGTCAATGCTCTATAAGGTTTTGGGAATCAGCCCTGACTTAAGCTTTGAAGAGTGTATGATTTGATATGAGAGCAACCTGATTCGAAATTAGATTTTTTAAAAAGTCCATAAATTATAAGGGGGAAGTTTTGAAACACCCACTACTTCTGCTTTTTCTGGGGGGAGGGGGAAGAACCCAGCTAATTTTCAGTTGGATCCCTGGAAGGGTGAATTTTTTATTCCTCCCCCACCCCAACACACCCACACCCTTTTCAGGAGAAAGCAGGAAGGAGGAAAGGACAACACTACAAGCTCCCGTTTGTCCATCAGTGAACCTACAAAGAATTTGGTTGAACCAATACGGAATTAGTGAAACATGACAAAAGCCACTTTTCTGGAATGTCAGGATACTGGCATGGCATGGCTGAAGAATGATTCTAGACTACGCCTTGTGCAAGGGTGTGCTTTGCTGTCCATCTTGGAAAACATCTGCCCCCCCTCCCCCCCCAATAACTGTTAGGATTCTCTTGTGGCTTTTGCTGGCAAGACTTAGCAGAAGCAGATGTGCCAGTGAGGGGGGCAAGTCACAGAGGAGCTGGTTCAGGGAAGGCGGCATTCATAGCCCTGCTAAATAGCCTTGTGTTTCCAACTGTAAAGTCTGAGCAAGTGCACCTTCAATGTTAGCATGGTGCCCATTCATTCATGGTCAAGAGATTTAAAACTGCCCCAACTGTGCAGAATTCAGAAGGTAAATTGGAGCCTGTGTTTTGTAAACTGAGTTGAGCTCTGTTGCACTGGCAGATCCAGCCCCAAAGTATAATATTTCTAAGTAATAGGGATGTGAACCTCAGATGTATTACGTTTCTCTCTGGACTGTGTCATTGCAGAGGTGGTTCAGCAGTGTGGAATAAATCCTCTTGATTGGTCCCCCAAAAGGTGTCTTTTGTCCCAGGCACTGTGATTGGGTTTGCACATTGTACAAAGCCATGGTTTGATAAACCATAGATTGAATAAGCCATCATTGGATTGGTTTTCACAATATGCTCAGCCATAAATGAGTAAGTGTACTCTCATAATTGGTTCTGAGTACTGTGTTTATTATCTCAAGACACTCTCATTTTATAAATAGAAGAGCAATTGGACTATCTGTAGGCCAGAGAAAGTTTTTAACCTGGCAAAGATTATGGATTTGCTCCCTGGCATTTCTAGGGAAGAACGAGAATAGCTCCTCAGCTGGAGAGCATTTGCTTGCCAGCATAAGCTGGTCTTCCCCAACTCAGGTAGTCCTCATTTAGCAACTACAATTGGGACTGGCAACTTGGTTGTTAAGTGAAACAGTTACTAAGTGAAACCGTGACTGTGCTTATGATCTTCAGCTTTCCTTTGCTTTACAGACCTGCGAAGGTCATAAATGCAAGGATTGGTCGTAAAGATACTTTTTCATCACTGTTGTAACTATGAATGGTCGCTGTACAAGGCAATCACTAAACAAGGACTACCTGTAAGTGTGACCTTGAAGGTTTGGACTGCTTCAACTCCTGCCAAGGGATTATGGGAGATGTAGTTCAGAGCTTTTAGAGGAATATGAAGCCGGGGAAGTTTGGTGCAAGTGAGTCTGAGCTCAATGTTTTAATTTTGTATAGGGCATCTGTTAATATTTTTAAGAAGAAAAAAGGCAGTGGGTTCCAATTATGACCCAAGTGATCAATCAGTTTCTTCACAGTATATCTGGTCACCCATAGTGTTTTAAACTTGCCATGATCCACGTTTGAAACAGCTGTTACGTGTGTTCGGAGCTCAGAAAAACAAAAAGATTTTTAAGAAATCCTCTCAGATTGTTTTGTTCCAAGCTCAGGACAAAATGGTATTTCATTTCAGGGTTTAAATGTTCCAACAAAGAGAATGGCAGAAACAAGCCATTCCTTCCCCCTGCCCCCCTCAGGGACAGAAGAAGTAGCTGAAGTGATCCTCTCTGCTGTTTGAATTTTTTTTTTTAAACAAAATGTCCATAGCAAAAAATGGAACTGTAATTAAGCATGCTTTTCCAGCCTGCTTGCTATGATTATTTTTTATTGGGGAAAAAATGACTCTTAGGTATTTTTTCGGCAGGTTATGTTGAAGGTAGCACTCAGTCTAGACCACCACCTCAGTTACTTTTGTGGCTCTAACCACAAAACTTGGCACATAACAGGATTTTTTAAAAAGTTAAACTAGGCAAATTACCTGGAGCAGACACTGCTGTTTTTGCAGATCAATAGCGAAGGGGTTAGCCTTGCAATAGTGGCAGATTTGAAAAACACGGTGTCCTTTTTTTTTTATGCAAACAATTCAAAGTTTTCCTTTCTTTATTGCTGTGCATTGTTCCAAAGGCCACACTTCCTACCTGAAGAACTGTGGAGCCAAGTAGGAGGTCCACTAATCTCTAATAATAAACCCTGTAAAATGGGTGCATTATCTTAAATGTTTACTCTGACATATGTCCCACTGTACCCATTAGGCTGTACTATCTAACAAATGAGGGTATTGGGGTTGTACCCTTCATTACCTCAGCAGAGGCAGCTTTGGTGTGAATACTGATGCGGCTGGATTTTATGCTGATGGGACAGTTTTATTTTGCCTTGAATTAAAAGGGAAGGGTCAATCTTGCGGTTGTAATCCTGGAATACTTCTGCAGGAACGTAGCAATCTAGCCCTGTTTGCGATCAATAAAACCGAGAGGCTGGTTATAAAAATGAATATTTGTAGATGTGGCTCCATCCAGCACAACAAACTAATCTTGGGTCTCGGATCTTCAGTTTCTCACCCGCATGGTTGGATTCAACAAGAAAGAAGTTATTCAGATCCAGATTTATTTGTTTGTTTGTTTGTTTTGCACTGGGCTTCTCATGCAGTTTCCTGCCAACCTGGTCCACTTCCAGAATTTCCAGCTGGTATCCATCGCCACCTGATTATTTACATTCTTCTGATTTTTTAACTCCTTTTGGATCATTAACGGTGGCTATTCTTTGTATGTATATATTTGCACTGTATGGCAGATGATTGATTCGGGATGGGGCACTCAGATCTGTTTTCTTTATCTGGCTCTCCGTGCTGCAATGGATTTTCAGATTCAGCAAGCATGCCACATGAATTAAGTTGGCTGCGGGCATGTGCACAGGTCCTGTTTATGGCACCTTTCCAGAGGAGAGGTGCAACTTGCTCATTTACGTGCCCGTGTATTTAGAAGAGGGGTTCCTGGGGCCTGCCAGGAACAGTTGCATTCCAAGACCCATCAGCCTGAAACCACATGCCCAGTGATCCAGGGCGAAGAGTGATGTTATCCCACCTTTGGTGGGCAGAGTGTCCCTTACCTCTTTTGTAGGAGTTGGCTATGAATTACTTTATTGAATAGATAGCAGATTTGAAGTATCTCTTTCAAAACTGCAACTGGCAAGGCAATTGCTAACCTGAAAAAAAATCACCTGTTGTGCAGAATTGGATAGCGTACACTTCAGGGCTACTGTATATGCAACTTTTCTCCATTTTTGTACCCCCTCTCCTGCATCCCCGCCCCATGCATAGAATAGTTCATGACTATTGCCATTGTCACTGTAGCCTTTGCTGTCCTCTGCAAAAATATTAAGGGCAGCCCCAACCATCCAAATTTTACCCCTTCTGCCATGGTTTTAGCTTTACGTTGAATCATTCTGCAAAGAATTCTAGTTAGCAATGTAAGTACACGCACTGGATGCATGCCAAGCTAAGTCATGGCTTGTTCAGTGGTACTTTACTGAATAAACCACAATTTGTAGGGTTCAGGTTTTGCACTAAGCACTCATATTTTACGAACTACATTGGCTAGATTCACACAGCATACTAAACCAAACATAGCTTAGCACCCTGAATCTGTTACATTATCTGAAGAACTGTTTAGGTTTCTACTTGGCATAATTTGATCTGTTGACTTATGCACAAATTTTCCGGGAATATAGACTGCCTTAGGGGAATATAGACTGCCCTAACCCTAACCCTAACCCTAAGTTTAAGTTCCTTTGTAATAACCACTATGAAATAGGACACATTGCATGCTAGAAAGGTGTTCTATCACTAAACTAGTCTACTTTTCACTCTATCAAAAGAAAAAAAAATGAAATCTCTCTCCTTCTCCCTCTCCCTCTCCCTCTCCC